ATTCAATAAACTTTATTCAATCAAAACATGTAAATATGCATGGGATAATAAAGTGTTAGTTTGATTAATGAACTAACATTATTCAATGAACAAGATGCATGAATGAAATAACTTACTAAATGATCTAAATATGCATAACTAAACTACTTCCCTAAATGAACTAGATGCTTTAAATGCAATGCATGCTTAAATGAACAACACGCTTATTAGATGCAATGAATGTTATGCAAACTTTTAAATTCTCATGCAAATTCATGCACAAATAAAATGATGAAATCCTCCCTTAAACTTGGTTGTTTTTTTTTCACGTTCCAGCCTTGAATATGATGGTGGAGGTTCTTCTTTTGGATTGAAAAAGCCTTTCAAAAATCTAAACTTGGTTTGAAATTCCCAGATTAAGCTCGAATAAGCTTCTAGAAGCTTCTTAAATGTAAACAACTTGCCTTGATCAAACGGTCTTAAGGAGATTGCAGAAAATGATGTAAGGCGCATAGCCGAGATCACATCATTCCCTCCCTCTTTAAAGCGATTCGTCCTCGAATCGAAAATATCAATAAAAGAACAATCTCAATGGCAAGTAAGAAAAATCTTTGTCGTATGTAGAATAATCCAATTGAGCTCCACGCCCTTCATAAAGGCTTATCCTTGAATTACAAACATCTTTGGGAAAATGTTCTTCATCACCAAGCAAAAAGAAGTATTTTCCATAAATGGAGAAGTCCTTTTGAACTCCTCGTAGTGGCTTGCCAATTATTTCTTTTATGATGTCTTTTCTCAAATTGACCTTGGTGACAAATCTTTGTATTTGAATCATCCCACTGAAAAATGAATCAATATTAGAAGTAGCAAAATTGATAACAAATGAAATGGGAATATCAAACCATGGAGGAAGCTTGATGATCTTGATTGGTGGTTGCTGCTTGATGTCTTTGATGATGAAATACTTCATTGTATCTTCTCTTGAAATATAATCTAGGCATGCTTGATGTTTGATTATCTCCATGATTGGTGATGAGGTTAGAATGTCCTTTGAAGTGTTCTCATGATTCTGCAATGATAAACCAAGACTATGAGGAAAAGAAAGGTTGGTGTAATATGAAATTTCCTTATCCTCTTCTTTTCGACATTTTTTCTTTTCGCTTCCAAGTTTTTCAACTACACTTTCAATCTTTTAGCTACAATTTCTTTTTCTTCGCTCTCAATGTCTTTTTTAACACTTGTTTCTTCTTTTTTTTTTTGCAAACACTTTCTTTTTGTAGTTGTTCTTGCAATTGTGTTTCTTTGACAAAATTATCAAAACACACTTGAAGACGAGCTAGGCTTTCTGGATTAAAAGACGCAAAATTCCTTGGCTCACTTTGGGTTGAACTTTTGACATTGCTTCTTGTTAGAAAATTGGGGTCCTCCTTGTAAGATCTTCTTCTACAATTGGGTGTAGAACTACAAAAGGATCGAGAGTCGTTTCTCATTTTTAGTTGTGTTTTGATCTTCGTTTGACGCGTTTTTGAACAAGAAGATCGTTCTATCATTTGCTCCAATTTCTTTGAGATTGGGTCGAGATGCTTTTGAAACAAACTCCTTATCTCTCGTGTCATGGATTGCATTTACAAGTTTGGTGCAGCACCATCATTTTGGTCGTCACCTTCTGAAGTATGAGAATTGTCTCTAGAAGTACGAGACATTATTAGTAATAAAAAATGAAAAATAGACCTCACCAATACACTCCAAAGAAAAAATTAATGTCACTTCACTCGTGTTTCACTCGGGATGGCTTTTACCCTTAATGTGCTCTTGTGCATTTTTCCACTCTTACTTTTCTTTTCAAGTTCTTTGAGAACTCCCTCAAGGTTTCAAGTGGTCTTATGGCCTTTTGGCTGAAACAAGTGTGACTAGGTAGCAAGGTTAGTGAAAAAAAATTGACTACAAGGAAAAGAGATGGTAAGTAAAGGTAACAAAATTGAATAATGGAATATAAAGATGAAGTATATATATATATATTTCTTTAAAGATTAAAAGAATTACTCCCTCTCTTTAAATTTTTTTCCTTTTTTTTCTTTTTTTAATTTTGATTTTTTTACTAACCCGAGAGAGAATGAAACGATACACTTACCATATCAACTAACTCTGATACCAAATGATATGATCTCGATTATGTGTTCCGAGTCATATACGAGTGTGCTTGATCGTGATTCTAGTAAGAACTCCACAAATCTTTGAATGTAATATGAAATTTGCAAACAACGTAAAATAGAAATGGATAAATAAGATATGGAAATGGAAAGATGAAATATATGTTGAAATTAATTAGCAGCGTTGGAAGACTGATGCTTGTGCTTAAGGAAAATAAAGGATGAAAAGGTTGGTGAAGATAACAGGGAGTTAGTGTGTAGTATGAAGAATCTAAAGGAAATGGATTGTGACCCGTTTGCTATATATAGCTAAGAACCAACAATATAATATGATGGAATCGAGGTGGAAGAGGATGTAACGTGACCCACTAGCTATAGATGAGCTAGGAACCAACGTTATAATAAAATGAAATAAAGGAAGGTTTCAAGACTGACAAGAAACCGATAGAGTTCTAATGTAATAACTAAAATGAAAGCATCATTTCAAAGAGTTTTTATACAAAAAGTTATACGTACAAATGCCATGGAGGTGCTTATTTATAGTTTTGATAGGTACCATATGAAGAGTTTTTACAATTAAAATAAAACAATCACCTAAATACAATTTAATTCAATTAAATGACTTGCCATTCTTTTTATCCATTGATGGCTGGCCATGTAGATTGAAAAGGGATGAATTAAGCTTTAATTTGAAATAATTCTAACCTTAAATTCGTCCAAAAAGGAGGGAGACTCTTGGGCTACGTTGCCTTTCTTGCAAATGGAAGAAAAGAGGATAAATGAAGTCATAGGATGAATGTGGACATCCTACATGTCCAAATCAACTTGTCTCTTCAAATTCCTTGCTGATTTTACAACTTAATTTGGTGGTTAAATGAAATAAAATCAACCATCATTGTTTGTCCATTGAAGAATATGATCAGCCTTCAAAAGATGATAAAGGCATTGAATACTAAGTTTTGAATGATGGTTATTGCATGTCCCCTTGTTTGAACATGAATGACCTTCAATAGGTGATAACATCAACCTTGAATTGATGAATTAAGATGGCCATCAATTTCTTGTCTCTTGGTAGAAGATGAAAGGACTTTTCCTTAGCTCAAACTTATCCAATTCATCTTTGTATAAAATTCCCGTAATGAAAATTTCAACCTGCACTGTCTTTAGTAAATCGATCATATATCGGATTGAGGTGATTCACAAGGCATTAGAAAGCTAAGAGATAGATGAATAATTTCCAAATGATTTCTGGTAAAAACATATGTATCGCATCCAGAATTAGAAGACATTCTGACTGATATTCTTGCATCTGTTGAGATTGTTCAGCTTCCCTCTTGCACCTAAACACAAAGATAAACTTTATTCAATCATAACATGTGAATATGCATGGGATAATAAAGTGTTAGTTTGATTAATGAACTAACATTATTCAATGAACTAGATACATGAATAAAGTAGCTTACTAATTGATCTAAATATGCATAACTAAACTATTTTCCTAAATGATATAGATGTTTTAAATGCAATGTAAGCTTAAATGAACAACACACTTATTAGATGCAATTAATGTTATGCAAACTTTTAAATTCTCATGCAAATTCATGCAAAAGTAAAATGACGAAATCCTCCCTTAAACTTGGTTGTTCCTTCTTCACATTCCAACCTTGAGTATGATGGTGGAGGTTCTTCTTTTGGATTGAAAAAGTCTTCTAAAAATCTAAACTTGGTTTGAAATTCCCAGATTAAGCTCGAATAAGCTTCTAGAAACTTCTCAAATGTTAACAACTTGCCTCGATCCAACAGTCTCAAGGAGATTGCAGAAAATGATGTAAGGCGCATAGCCGAGATCACATCATATGTGAAGAACCTCTTTTTTCTAAAAAGGATGATAAAGGTGATCTTTGTTATTATTGGAAGCTTATTGAAGATACAAAAATCAATAAACTTCAATGCATTGCCTTTAATCCTGAAAAAAGTCCAACTAGAAAATGAATTATAAATATACACACATCAACTCTATAGAAAAGCAATCCACAAATTATACAGAGAGTTTCCTAATGAAACACTTCAAATCAGCTAATCCTTCAAATCGTGACTACAATGACTAAAAGGTGCGCTTTACAGCAGCATCTCATGTTGCTTTTAGAATCTGAAAGCAAGACTGCAGCAACCATAAATTTTCACTAAATAACCTACAGCTATGAAAAAAGATGTACAAGGTTTAAAACTAAATTTCAATATTTTTCTGAATAGGTTTCATTATTACTATTATTCGTGAATTCAGGAGCTGCAAAACAGGGGGCTCAGCACCATAAATGGACTTGAAGCTTCACTACAAATTTTCAACTAACACATGAAAAGCTTGCAGATTTCCTTAAGTTCAGCAGATTACGAGTCATAAAAATTAAAGAAGATAATATCTTGTTCGCTACCAACAGGATAAAAAACATGATATGGTCATGGATAATTGGTAAATTATGAAAAGTAATAAAATAAAAATTCTCTTGGAGTTGTTTGATCACAAGGATAGCTTCAAATTCCCTCAAACCAATATTCTTGTCAGCATAATTTGTTTTGTTCGCATTAAATGAAGAATGGTCATTAGACTCTATGTTTTATATTGTCAAGGGAATCAACATCAACCAGTTTTCTCATTAAGAAATCAATTTGTATATCATGCATTGTTCTCTGCAATATAGAAAGGAATCAGAACATAGAATTACATACCTCTTGCGCTAATTTTTTACAAATTAACAAGAATATTGAGCAACCTGAGTTTCAATATTCATACCTAACAATCAGATCAAAACAACCAAAACCTAAATCCTAGCTAAACAAAAGAAAGTAGCACAGAAGAAAAAAAGAACTTACATGATAGGAACGCTGGTGGAGATCTCAGCCCAAAATTGGTCACGAAGCTAATTAAATTAGAAAGAGCATGATATTTCAACTGAGGATAGCTCTCGTTAAGCATCGCCAGTAACCCTCCAGCCGAACTTGGATGGAAGCTCTCTCGTTAAGCATCACCAGTAAGCTTTCCATGGCAAAGATTTAAAATTTCGAATTCCAGTTTCAGCAGAAGATTTAAGGGAAAAAAAAAGAACTCAACACAAATTCTTAAGCTAATTAATCCCAAACATCTATAGAATCAGAATCAAATAGTACTAACCACAAGGGTTCCGTTTGGCTTGGGCTTTGGGGATGAAATTGAAACGCTGTTCAGGAAATAAATAGTTTAGGGTTTCGATTGTGGTAACACAACACTCTTGCCAATCCAGACGATTGAGGTCTCCAATCACCTTCTCTTGAGTCAGGCAGACATTCGACGAAATGCTGGCTCGCAACAGAGAACGTGATGGATTTGGGTTTGGGTAAACGGCATCGGCGAAGAAGCTGTGAGATGGGTTTGGGTAAACGGTGGAAATGAAAAGGTAAAGGAAAAAAAATGAAAAAAGTGCTAAAGAGTGGACTATAGAAGACTCAAAAATTGCGGCGTTTGTAACTCAAGAGGCTAGGGGTGTTCATTCGGTTAATTCGGTAGTTGAATCGATCGAATTATTATTTTTAAATTAGTCGAACTTTTTTTTTCTTTAACCGTTAATCGAACTGAATTTTTTTTTGAAAATATTAATCGAACCGAATAAATTTCGATTAATTCGGTTAATTTTCGAATTAACCGAAATTTTTTAAAATTTTCTAATTTATATAAAAATTAAATATTTTATAATTTAAAAAAACAGTTTATAATTAATTTAAATAATATATAATTATAAAATAAAAATTTTATATAATTTTTTTAATTAATTAATATTGATTTAGGTTTAAAAGTTATTGAATCTTAAATTATTAATTTGGTTTTAAATGGTTTGGGCTGAGCCCATATGTTATATATAATATATTTAATATTTTTTAATTCAAAAAAAATAGTTTATAATTAATTTAAATAATATATAATTATAAAATAAAAATTTTATATAAAATTTTTAATTAATTAATATTGATTTAGGTTTAAAAGTTATTGGATCTTAAATTATTAATTGGATTTTAAATGGTTTGGGCTGAGCCCATATGTTATATATAATATATTTAAAATTTAAAATTTTATTTCGGTTAATTCGGTTAATTAGGTTAATTAACCGATTTCGAACCGAATTAACCGTTAACCGAATATCCAAAAAAACCTTAACCGTTCCCCGACCGAACTAATTCGGTGGCCGACCGAATTAACCGAATTAGTTCGGTTCGGTCGGTTAATTCGGTTAAAACCGAATTTTGAACACCCCTACAAGAGGCCACTAAAGTACTAGGTTATAGTGGGTAACTCTAAACGCTACAAATGTACTAACAAATTGCGGTGTTTATTACAAAATGCATTAAAGTACAATTATGTAGTGGTGTTTTTCAAAAAATGCCGTTATATATGTATGTTATTACGGTATTTATTTAAAAACGCCACTAAAGTATGTTTTTGTGGCGGCATATTTTAATAAATGACACTAAAGTATTTGTCTGTATGAGTTTTAGTGGCGTTTGTGGAAAAAACACAGTTAATGTTATCATTTTGTGGCGTTTTGACTATAAACGCTACGATATGCACAAATTTCGTGGCGTTTGCTTTCAAAACGCCGTGATAAACGTCGCTATGTATCTGTTTTGTTCTAGTGATCTTTTAACTTAGCAATTAAAAAGTAAAAAAAAAGCCACCTAAATGACCTAGTTTTAATACACTCTAGAGACCACCTAAATTATAACATAGTACCTGAAAGGAATAAAAGATCGAGAGTAGCCGCTTATTTTGGGCCAAACTATATTGTTGTCTTCGTAATAGCTAAAGTGTTCCTTATAGATGAAGATTCAAAAACTTTTGACGAAACTATATGATCTATTGATGTTAGTTTTTAGAAGATATATTAAATGATGAATTAGAATTAATTATGTTCAATCACACATGAAAAATAGACTTGTCCAGAATAATAAATGGAATTTTAGAAAGACTAAATGGATCAATACAAAGAAATAATGTCTAGTAGTCAACATATTTACTTAGAAATATGGGATATATTTCTTTGATACCTACTCTCTTGTGACCAATATCTCAACCATTTGATTTTTGTTTGCTTTAGCTTCAATTACTAATTACAAGTACATCAAATCGATGTATCATCTTGAATGGATATTTGGACGAAAAGATCTATATGGAGCAACTTCCAATATTTGTGGCTCGTGATAACGAAGACAAAATATTTAAGTTCAAGAAGTTCCTCTATGATCTTAAGCAGGTTTTGAACCAATGGTACAAAAATTTCAAAATAATATTTTTAGTTTTGGTTTTATAGTTGATGATGCATAATCATGGGTTTACTCTAATATGCTGCATGATCATAAATATATATTAGGGGTGAACAAAACTCGACTCGACTCGAAAAACTGAATTTTTGAACTCGATTATACTCGAATGGACTTCGAGTTGCATTTTCATAAACTCGACTCGACTCGAAAAAATTTCAAGTTCAAATCGAGTTGTAAAATACAACTCAAATAACTCAAAATTTTTAGAAATTAGTGGATTTATTTTCAAGTTTGAGTCTAGTCTTTGAACTTTGTATGATATATGTATATCACACATGAAAAAAAAATGAAGAAGTACATTTGTATTATATATATGATTATAGAAAATCACTTAAATTGGAATCAAATAACATTATAAATATTTACAATTAAATTTAAACAAAAACTCGAAAAATCGACTCGCCTCGACTCGACTCGAATTTTATAAAATTGTCTCGACTCAAAAAAAGTTCAAATCAAGTCCGAGTTGTAAATTAGGACTCATCAACTCGAATAACTCAAAAAAAAAAATTAATCGACTCGACTCGATCGAACGCTGACCCCTAATATATATAAATGAAATTTGATTTTTAGTCCCAATTTTAATGTCATTAGTAAAACCAAAAAACATTTGTCTACTAAATTTGACATGATTAACTTGGGAAAGGTAGACATAATCTTTGAAGTTAAGATTATAAAAAATAAAAGTTTTTTTATGAACCAGTCTCATTACAATGAGAAAGTATTGAAAAAAAAAATAATAGCTGTGGGTAATTGCTGTCAAAACTCCTTATGATTCTAGCATTAATTAGATAAAGAATAAATGAAGTGGTATTTCTCAAATTGAATATGATATTATTATTGGGAGCCTAATGCTCTTAATGAACTATACTCAATTTGATATTACCCTAAACGGTTATATTAAGTAGATATAACCAATATTTCAAGAAGTGAGCATCGGAATACCCTTATTCGCTTACTTAAGTATTGTAAGGTACGTTTAATTAGAAATTAGAGTTGGTTGGATACAATGCATTCGTAGAGAGAGAGAGATTGTAATGCAAAATGAGTAACTACCAGGAAACAAGTAAGTTCAACTAGTGGTATATTTTTACTTTAGGTGGTGCATTCACTTTGTAGAAGTCTGTGAAGTAAACATGTATTACTCATTCCACTATAGAGTGACAATCTAGTAATGAAATAAGATATTATCGATTAAGTTATCATATTATATCATCCCACTTATAATTTCTATAATTTTTCCTGTAATTTTGATAGTCAATTTATAATTTCTCAAAGTATGATGACTGGAACGAAAAAACATATTGTTGGAGAACTTAATGTAAATCTGTAATGTACGATATCCATTTATGAACGGAACTTCTCAAAATTCAGGTTCTGATTTCTGAAGCATTACATTTCCTCGATTTTAATTTCAGATTCGGTTTCTAAGTATTTGAATTTTTTTTTTGTTTCACCACATAATTTCAACTAATTATTATTAAAATCAATAAACATATATTTTTTCTGCTCTGTTGACAAGATCGGGGAAGTTACCGTAATAGGTCCGAAACAAATGGCATTACAGAAGTTGTGTGCAATAATTTTTGGCAAACCATTAAAGTGATTCAGCAACCTCATAATTGGACATCATCAATGCGTGTTATGTAAATGGACATCTCTATTGTTTCTGACCCTTAAGCAGGAGAGCCCCAATAATGGAGATTACGTACGCAATTTCATCTCTACGTAAATCACAGCCGTTTACCTTTCCAACAAAAAACAATGCTATCAGAACCTTAGTTATGTCCGAAAACAGTACTGTATATATACATATACATACAAAAGCAGCCGTGACAAATGCATAGCGAATGAAGACGAAAACATTGCATAATGTTTTCACAACGATATATCATAATATACAAGTTGACAAATACGACACAACCCAGAAAAATAAAATTCTCAAGTATCAAGATTGCAAATCCGTGAAGTCTTGACTATAATGTTGGATGATAATGTGCTTTGGCTTGGCTATATCTCTAGAGGGAGAGATGATGATGATGATGATGATGAAGAAGAATATGCATACAACGATACCAAAGAACGCAATCGATTGCAGTGCAATAGCAGAGAGAAATATTGGGATGGATTTGACAAGCAATTTCGGATGATCAAGTGGAAGGGAAGAGATAGACCGACAGGGGCAGCTGACAGTTGTTCATCCAAAAATTTTAAAATTATCATATATATTAAATATTTTTTTGTATTTTATATTGAGAATCTGATTTTGTTTCTCTAAAATTTTATAACTTCATTTTTTAAAAATTTTATAAATTTATTTCCTAACATTAAATCATGTGTTCGTTTCTAGACGGACCCGTAGACGTGGGATTAAAAAGCAACCACCATGATTGATTCATGTGTGAGATAATACGTTTAAAACAACTGAGTGTACAATATTTCGGGCAGCATACTCGAATAGGAAGAAGAATATATAGGAGAATGAAGATATATACGTGTGTATATTGATTTTATTGTTGACTATAGTATCTCTGATATTGCCTCAAATTCATCACCAAGTTTAGTAGGTGTAGTAAACGAAGAAATAAGTGAAGGTCATGAGTATGTCTAGTTCTCTCACTTCTTCACTCGCCTCTGCCTTTTCTATAGTTCAAAATTGAATCATTATCATTTATTTCTTCGAAAACTCACTTATATATACTTCCATTTCCATTAGCATAGTCCACTATGTAGAGATCACATCTATCTATATATATATATATATATATATATATATATATATATATATATGCTGATTTTTGCAAGCATCCATTTTAAATTAGTTAATGTTTTGAATTAAATTTCAACGTTTGAGATAAACATATGTATTTTTCGGTAATAAAAACATTTTGCAGATTTCTTAATTCTGATATGGTAAAAGACGATGGCATAAAAAATTATGAAATCGGTATCTACACATGAACTTATTAAATACATTTTGATCAAACATATAAAAATTATATAAATATTTAACACCTTAAAATACTTATGACATGATAAATAATATAAATACAATAACTATCATGTGTTTTGGGGAGATATAATCTCTCTACTATAATTT